GTAACCAACAACAACAAAAAAAAAACAAATATAATAGTATACGATAATGGCGATGGCGGTTATTCTGGTCTCTCATAATCGTCATTTCACCCAAAATTATTGCAGTGACCTCCAGCGCCACGTGACCCCGTGTTGCATGACGTCATGACATGCGGGGAGGGGGAGGGTAGGGGGGATGGGGGGGCACAGGCTAAGACGGTATCGGAAACCTCATGAATCACTCCCATAAGCGGGTAAAAGATGAGTAAAAAGCCTTACAAGTTTAGTGACCGAATTGCTAACTTGGTGTTTGGGTTAATATATGCCTATGTGATTTTGCGCGTGTTCGTATTAGTGTCCGTCATCGTATTTTTTTGTTTATTTATTATTATTATTATTATTATCCTTATCATTATTATTATTATCATTACTATTATTAAAATTACTATTATATATATGTGTGCGCGCGTGCGCGCCCGTGTGTGTGTGTGTGTGTGTGTGTGTGTGTATTTGTGTGTTTTATCCAAAGTGTGTTTGCGGTAGCGGGCAGGGGATAAGAGTGTGAAAAAAATACAGAAGTGGGAAGGGAGCGAAGACGATCGTCGGCGTTATCGAGGCCAATCCAAACCGCAGCTTCCCCTGTGGTTCTGCTTGTCACGTGATGCGCTTAATGCCTCCAATACCCGTTCCTTTGATACGACAGGGTGGATGTGCCAGTCTAAGTCTTGAGGGAAGGTAGTGTGAAGTTTAGATCCTTCTGAAATATGAAGTTTTGGGAATGTATAAATAGGCTCCTCTAATTTCGTACAGGAAGTCGTAAATATGAGTGGACGGGGTAGGAATTTTGAGTTCATTAGAAGTTCCTCTTATTTAGATATTATGGCAGGTGATCGCACCGGGGCAGTGCTGGCTGTGTATATAAACAGAAGGTTATCGCCTGGGTTCGGGCGAAGTGAGAGGTGGGAGAGGGAAGGGGGGGTGAGAGAGGGAGTTGGCACTATTTATACACGCTTTGGACGTTCTTCTACCTCCTCCGTCTCTCCATGCTTCTTCCCCTCCCCCCTCGCTCTCTCGCTCTCTCTCTCTCTTTCTTCCCGCATCTTGGCTCGTTAGTTGGCAAGCTGGCAGACACGATAGGCCTCCTTGGCACGCCCTGCCGAAGACACGTGGGGCGGGTGCCGCGCGGGAGCTGTCACGGCGACGATAGATGGCGTTGTAGTCGTTGATTAGTTGGTTATATTTCACCCGATAGATGGCCCTGTCAAGTATGTAACGTAGGAGCTTGTTCAATAGCTGGTGTTATCATCCTCACGTAATAGAAATTAGTGCGATTGTCGAATTGATATATAATAAGAATGCTCAACGAATGTCATCACTCTAATTATAAAAAGAACAATATACATAATTGTTGGTATGATCCATTAAGTAAAAGCACATCTTGTTCAACAGGTGGCATTTTGATGATGAGACAGATACATCTTAGTCCATGACGTTGTAAAAATTGCTGGTTTGATAAGTGTCGTTATGATAAAAACACGAAAGCTTATGCAACAAATGACGATCTCGTGTCAACAAAACATGATAATTTACCAGAGATGGCGCAGATGACGTTCTTATGCTAATGAGAACGTGAACATTTACTTAAAGAGGTTACGTTGTCATTCCGTTAAAAAAAATGACTAAATATTTGTGAGGACATATGGCAGTATGATATACCTGAACGTGATAAATTTGATTTCCTTTTTTCTCTCCGTTTTCTCCTCCTTCCTGAAAGTGTTTGACGCAGCGCAGTATATGTCACTGACCCGACAACTTTGAGTTCGCAAGTATTTTTGGTAACAGGAAGCGAGGATATTTTCTTAAGCGCTCTCGAATAAAAGCCAATCAGGGTTTATAAATACTTTAATCTGATGCCCAGCCACACACGGCATGCGTCTGAGGTTTGCAAGGAAGAACAGAGCATCAGAAAGAGAATAATATATACGTAGTAGAGAAAGGAAATGAAAGAAAGAGAGGGAGAGAGAGAGAGAGAGAGAGAGAAAAGAGGAGTCAGCAGACACACTCATTCATGTGAGAACAAACCAGCGCCACACAGTACACGTGTTGAAGGGGATGCGCACACAGAGGGACTAATAACTTTCTCCTTTATTGTTAAAACTTTATGATGTAACTCGCTAGACAGGAATACATAAATATGTTTCGTGCAGTCACACACTTACACACACACACACACACACACACACACACACACACACACACACACACACACACACACACACACACACACACACACACACACACACACACACACTTGGATATATGTGTGTATATATATGTTTATATTATATATATTATATAAATATATTTATATATATACACATGCATATATATATGTGTGTGTGTGTGTGTGTGTGTGTGTGTGTGTGTGTGTGTGTGTGTGTGTGTGTGTGTGTGTGTGTGTGTGTGTGTGTGTGTGTGATTGCGCAAAACAAAATTGCACACACACACACACACACACACA